TGGAGATCTGTCGGTAGTCCAGCACAATAGTAGTCCGCGATTTCGTCGGGGGCTAGACCCAGACCCCGTTCTGCCACCGCCGCAAACTTATCGGTGTATTCCTTTGGGTCGCCGTTCCACCGTACCTTTGTCAATTCCGTTAACAATTGACTCTGTGACATTGTTCTGTCAAACCGCTCCAAAAGCCTGCGCCGTACTGTTGCCCAGTCACTTAGGTCGATAGTTTCCTGTAGATACATCAAATAAGTTAGAGCCGGGCCCACAAGGTGGTCTATGAGTGCATCTCCCCACTCGCGCGGTTCCAATCCCATTTGGGTGTACCGGCGCTCGATGCGCTTCAGAAAGGCCTTCATAGTGCTGCCGTCTTCAGGTAGTATAAGAGTCGTTGCGCCGGATGCTCCGGCTCCCCCTATTACCGTTCTAATTACACTCATTGCAGACTGGAATTGGTTCCAGGTGACGATGGGACTGTCCCCTGGCGTGACGTTGGGCAAAGTTGTCTCCTGCGGGGGCGCCTCCTTATGCCCAAGCGACCGCTCTGCCACGGTGGGTTTCGGAGTCGCGTGGCGGTGGTGGGCGGGTGTCCCGCTCGGCAACTTGTTGACCGACATTGTTGGAGTCTCCTGTGGTGTGGGACCGATGACGCGTCCGTTGCGGAGGTGCATCCCTTACCGAGCAAAGATTTCTAGGTGCGTGGCATTAAAACAAGATAATTATACTCCCAAGTCCGGAAAGAATAAAGATTTCAATCCCGGAACAGCCCCCAAATGTAGTGCGCGGCGCCTACTGCTCCGACTACGCTGTTTCCTGTCCCTCTACAGGTCTACAATCTACACCTAGGTTAGCCCCATTTCTCGGTCTCTACTGCTTTATTCCGTCGAAATACGACAATTCAAGAAGTGTGTGTGTTCTCTGTCTTCGATTCGGTCCCTTCTCGGAGCTTACCCCCTAGACCCTAGGGGGGGAGATCGCATTGGTGCCGGCGCTATCGCCAGCCCCAGTCTCCACACGATTTCCCCACAATTCACGTTTTTCACTAGAACTCACTAACGGTTTTCTTATTTTTTCGTGTATTGGGGGGGGTCCTGTCCCCCTCCAGTGTCGCGGCTCCTTGCAGGTCACTAGCTAGCTATCATCCCTAGGACACTAGTCAGCCCCATTGTAGTGTCTCAGCACTACACAAACCACGCTCCGCTACAGCCGCAAACCGGTCCGTGTACTCCTTCGGGTTACCATTCCACCATACTTTATCCAACTCCTTTAACAATTGACTCTGCGACATTGTTTTGTCAGACCGCTCCAAAAGCCTGCGCTGTACTGTCGCCCAGTCGCTTAGGTCGATAGTTCTCCGTAGATACATCCAATACGTTAGAGCCGGGCCCACAAGGTGGTCTATAAGTGCGTTTCCTCACTCGCGCGGTTCCAATCCCATCTGGGTGTACCGGCGCTCGATGGGCAGCAGAAAGGCCTGCATAGTGCTGCCGTCTACAGGTAGTATGGGAATCGTTGCGCCGGATCCCACGGTCCCCCCTATAACAGTTCTTATCACACTCATAGCGGACTGGAATCGGTCCCACGTGACGAAGGGACTGTCCCCTGACATAACATTGGTCATACGTATCACGTGCAGGGGCGCCTCCTTATGCCCATGCGGCCGCTCTGCCACGGTGGGCTTCGGAGTCGCATGGAGATGATGGGCTGGCGTCCCGCTGGGCATTTTGTTGACTGACATTGTAGAAGTCTCCTGCGGTATGGGGCCGATAACGCGTCCGTCGCGGAGATGCATCACTTACCGAGCGAAGAATTCTAGGCGTGAGCTATTAAAACATAGTATTTCTACTCCCAAATCCGGAAAGAACAAAGATTTCAATCCCGGAACAGCCCCCAAATGTAGTGCACAGCGCCTACTTCTGCGACTACGCTGCTACCTGCCCCTCGAGAAGGGCCTATGATCGGCACCTAACGTTGACCCATTCCCTTGAAACAGTAGCTTATATATATCGAAATACAGTTATTCTTAAGTTTCTAAAATCTGTTGTCTTTCAGTTCGCCCCACTCGGGGTGCTCGCCTCCTAGGCCCTCTGGGGAGGAGGCCTGCACTGGTGCCGGCGCTATCGCCAGCCCCCGTCTCGACGCATTTTCAGGCACCGCTAGCGTATGCATGTTAATTCTCAGACAAATTGCCTTACTTTGATCCTAGTAAGAGGGTCCTGTCCTCCTCCAGTGTTGCGACCCCTTGTAGGTCGCTAGCTAGCTGTCTTCTATAGGTCACCAGCGAGCCCTATTGTAGTGCCTGTGCACTACACAGTGGCCTTTACCCTCGCTCCTCTTGACCGTTTCGCCCAATCTGCGGACCTTCAGTTCTTGTGAGGGCCAGTCTTTCCCCAAGCGCCATACTTGGGGAAAGGCTGTTCACATCGTTGCACTTGAAGCACACCGTGCTTGCCCTGCTACCAGTTGCAAGGCGACTTCCGTTGTTACCTTCGCTTGTCTAGTGTTGGTTGACGCTTGCGGGTCCATCATGAGGGCAGAGGTCTCAGTTACCCTGCCAGTTCCACCACGATTCTTCTGCTGCTCTCCATGGGCCTTGAACTGCTATAAATTTCACCCGCGATTTCCTTCAGTCCTCTACTTTGACGGTGTCCCCTTTCTTCAGGACCCTGCAAAGGTTGAGCGTTAGATAAGCTACGTAGTTCTCCACGGTCTCCACTGTAGTAATACCTTCCCCTTTCGCAAGTATCTTCGCGAAGCCAGTTGAATCTCTCTGGCGGTTTTTCTGCCACCCGTTGGCTGCAATCTGTCAAATAGGGGCCCCAAAGCCGAGACTACAGAGGCGTAGGAGCGCGTATTGCTTTTTTTTAATATAGTCGCTCAAGTCCACGCCTGTGTCTTGCCAGGCAATTTCTGTGGTAAAGTGCTGCATGTCGCAGTTCACCAGTCGATTGAGCATGAACCTGTCACCTGCCGGGGAGGTTTTTTGTTGAGGGTAGGTTTTGATGGCAGTGGTGGCCCTTGAATTTCGACGAGGGCAGTACTAGCACTGAGCAATTGCATAAAATGCATATGCCGCCCTGCAGAATAGGTGATCAGCTAGGGTTGATGCACAGGATAGTAGTTCAGCCTGCACGCGGAAAAGAGGAGAGGTCGCCCCTAAACACGAGCTTAACAGATGGTGCGATCGCCCTGACTGCAGATCTGGTGAGCCGCGTTGATCATTCTATGTATTGAGAGACCCGGCAGCATTTCAAAGAGATGATGCGCTGGTCGATGTATTGGGGCGTGGCGAAGCTCCTGAATACCCTCAGAGAGCTACTACAATAAGCAACTACAATAAGGGTGGCACGCACCCCGTATTTGTGTCTCTGATGAGCCTGGTTGTGGCCCTAGCGTGCACGCTTTTCCGAATAAGCTGCACTAAATTACTTTGGAGCTCGTCTCATGCCAAGTGTAATTGCTTATAGGAATCCGAAGAGCAGTTGCATAGACGCCAGCACCATACATTTTTGAAAGATTCTAAAAAGCGTTACTCTGAAGAGGCACGGCATAATAGGCGACATCTGTGTGGCGATTTCAAGGCAGGAAGCTGAAATCCGTACGCCTAGTTACCAGAAATTTCCTCTGAAGCTCAACGCTGTACTTCATCTTGCGTAGTTGGTTGGCCGAAACCATTAGCTACATCCCAAAACACAACAGTATTCTCTTCTGATTGTTCTAAAAGTCACCAGTATCCTTCTAACTCGATTAACGCTTGCTCCAGACCTTCGTACAATAAGCTACTGAGCTGGTGGTTGTCCGGTAGCACATGACACGAGCAACAGGCACAAAGTTACAGGTTTAAAAACTGGTAAGGCTAAACCCATAGCGAAATAGAAGTATCGTTACTGAATTTGCAGATATTGTGCTGCATGTAGTAATATTTGCAGGTTTCAGTATGGCAGGATTCCATTCTTCTCCAAGCTTGAGCGGACCGTCCTGCCCAACTGAAATTTAAGCTTTGTAAGCCTACCAAAAAATCATATTTAGATGCACCTTCAAGACAAATTGATTGTGCTCTGGAGGATGCAACCTCCGCATAACTGAGGTCAGGAAGATACCTGTAGGGGAACTGCGAGTCAGGTAGCTTCTTTGTAATTGCCTGCAGAGAAGAGCATTCGACAAATACCAAGAAAAGCTTCTGAATGCTGAGATGAATATGTGGTTAGTCACGGGAAAACAGTCATGCTAGTTTTGCAACTCTGGGGAGACAAGCTGTCCAGAGAACGATGACTGTCGTAGAGTCAAGACCCCGCAAGTCTTCCGGGGAGCAAGCGCTGATATTTCGCCATTAAAATATAGTGTTTGCTGAATAATCAATCAAAGATGAAATGGACGGGGGGTTGCTAGCTGTAAATCATAGTACCGAGCAGCTTAACAACGCAATACCAACAGTTGCTGCTGCCTTGGCAGCTCTTCCTCATGCTCCTGTCGCAGCAGCCGTAACAGTAAACCGAAGGTTTAAGATTTTATCGTGCGTACTAGAAGATATTCCCAAATAAATACAAGGAAATTAAGGCGTAACACTACCTAGGACAGGGACGACACTGGGAACGAGGGCCGACAGTCGCGGTAGCCGCAACATCTACAGCAGTTGGGGACATTTGATAAAGCACTAAGGCAAGATACTGCGAGGACAGGATAGCCACATCAGCAGCGGCAGCTGCTGGCGGTAAATTCAGCATTTACGTCTCCGTGCTCCACCAGTGAACGGCGACAGGAGAAGCAGCAAATACGGCGGCAGGTGTCGTCCACCTGGATGGGTTTGCTCCATTAAAGCACGTAGGGCTCTACCTTTCGCCTTGTGAGTAGCTGCCACCAGCGCTTCCTGCGGCACAAGCCGCGGAAGCAGCAACATCAGCAAGGATAGTATGACCGGCAGCCGAATTAACTTGCTGTAGCAAAGGGACTTTGCGCTCAAGCAAAGAAATGCTGCGTTAGCAAAGCTGCCAACAGCGGAAGCAGAGATGAAGGCATCGTCGCAGTGGACTCTAGATGCGGATTTTCTGCAACAGCCATCATTTGTCACAGAGAGACAGGAGCAGCAACAAGGAGAAAATCAGGAACTAAGTGAAGGGTGCGGGCTGCTTCAGGAGCAGAAGGAAAAGCAGCAGCAAAGCGAGCGATTGCTGCTGCCATTCCATACGGCGCAAACTGACAAGGTGGAAGTGGGGAGCTCAGTAGAGCTACAACAGCAGCGACAGGCCCTTCAAGAGCAAGAACAACGGCAGCAACATGGAGAGGGTCCTCTCTGGGAGTTATTATTTTTCAGGAGAAGCAACTGGCAGCAGCAGCAGAGCGATATTGGGCAGCAGCTGCGGCTGCTACTGAGGTGCCTTGCGGCTGCTCCTGGCTTTCTGCTGCAGCAGCTGCTGCAGCACCTGCTGCTTCTGCTGCAGCTACTACAGCTCGCAGCAGCACAGGCGGCAAAACTAAAAATTTGGATTCTTTCAGCAGCTACGGGCATAGCAACAGCTGCAGCTGCGGTGTACATACAACTGAGCTCGGAGGTTATTGCAGACTTCCGAACTGGCTTCTGCCATGATTCACTTCTGAAGGCTCATGAGTAAGAACGAGGACAGCTCGTAGCCGTGAACCTTACATTGGGAATCCAGGGCCTTGGCAACTTGTGTGTAGCTACAACTCCCTTTTCTGCATTTGGAGGGCTGCAATCAAATGCAGTAACACCTCACGAGCTAGTGATATCACGCTACTGTCGCAGCTTCTGCTGCGACTCCTGTTTTCAAGTGGATGCCTTGCAGGCGTGCCGAAGGGTTTTGCCGGCGTGGGGCCCTGGCGTTCGTGGAATTCACTCATTGGGGCTGAGGGTCTCACAGGAGACTTCGTGGACTTCTTTGGCTTCTTTCTCGTCTCAGTCGGCTCTGCTACTGCTGCTGCTGCTGCGGTAACTGCCTTCGCACCGCAAGCTGCAGGATCGGGTGAGGGGTGGGGTGTGGCGGTAAACGGAAGAGGTTTAGGATGTAGGATATGTGGGAAGCAACGGAAGAGTGCGGTCGATTGACACCTTCCGTGGCTTGCTTGGTACTTCTGTTACCCCTTTTGCTAGCAGAAATCATACCTGTTTGTAATTGTTTTGGGGACGGCCATTTGTCCTTGCTTTGCAAATCGTTAACCTTTTTTCTGTTTTCTTCTGCTTGCTCTTTCTATACATGCACTCGCGGGATTTACACCTTTCGTCGCGGCTACGTCCTCCCACATCTCTACATCTTTTCAATATTATTTTGTGCGGGATATTCACACCTTCCTTCTTCATTTACTTTTCTGCTTTTCCTTGTGTCTTCATGCCTTCGTACTGCTGTATCATTCTCTAGTGTCTTGTCACTCCTGGTTATTCAAGTGCCGTTATTGTGTCATGCTTGCGCTTAAGGCATAGCCGACGCGAAGGTATTTATGAGCGGGTTTAGAGACAGCAGCTTTCTTTCTCCTCGGGTGTTGGCGGTGAAACTTCTTACCCTATCTCTAGCAGTGGGCAGCGGCCTCTCCTTAGGCAAAGAAGGGCCCATGGTTCATATTGCCTGCTGTTTGGGATTCCTGCTCCTCAAGACCTGTCGGCGCGCTACAGTGGCGGTTCCTCGGGTGTACCGGCAGCTTAGATCTCGCGTTGCAGGCATCTGTGGTTCACTATGTTGGCGTGTATCAGCACTCCGGGCTGGCCACGTCGCGGCGTCAAATCCAACCACAGCCGCCGAAGAAGAAAATACAGAAATTATCAAACTGTGTAGTCTGCCTGCGAGTTCTACGACAGCAACAGGTTTCCCCCTTAAAAATCGGGATCCCGACGAGCCCCTCAATGCAATTCTTCTTGCAGCATGTGCAGCGGGTAAGAGCATGAACCTTTCACGGGTTTCACTGCTGTTACATTGAACCGTATTGACGCCTAGCTCCCTCCAGTTACGGTCTGAGAATATTTTCCAGAGGGTTAAATGTCTCGAGTACCAAGTTTGAGGGTTGTTCACAGGAGTTGGTTGCGCATTTTCTGCACCCATTGGGGGACTCTTGTTTGCTTTTGAAGAAATGGGGGGCGGCCTTGGAGCGGTTGGGCTCAGACCAAGTAAAGAATCATCTGGAGCCCAGAGGACGCTTTGGATTTGCTGCTGTTGTTGCGTCGCTGCTGCGATTACAATGCATGCCTTTGGAAGCCTTGATCCTATGGCTGCCACCACACTGTTTCAGTCCACGAGATACACCTTGTAAGCAGTACAACTAGCAGTAGTTTGGTGGTCAGGCTTAGATTAGCGGTATCAACACTAGGCTCTATATATGCACTGATTGAGGCTGTCAATGAAGACTAATCACTTCACTCTGACTATTCTGTGGCCTGCCGCAGCACGTACGGATTTTGGGAGCTGGTTCCCTTCGCCTGTTTGGGGGTTTTGGGGGGATTACTGGGCCCAGTGTTTGTGAGGCTCTGCATGAAATGGTTGCGCATTCACAAGGTGCTGCTGCAAAGTACATGCAGCCCAATCAAAGAGGCTGCGATTGTCGCGGCTATCTCGGCGGTCACCAACTACTCACTCCCAATGATGAAGCACACCTCAGCGGTCCTTTTGGGTAGGCAGCAGCTGAGTACCCCTAGTTCTTGATGGGGGGCATGGGAAAGTGAACTGGCACACACACGCTTCGGAGTAGGGACTCATGGCAAGCCCGCTACTTAAGGTTTGCTTTTCATTGGCTTCATACTGTAGTGCTTTTAGGGTCTGGGGCATTAAGAGGTTGTGATATGTAACTGTTTAAAATTTGGATTTGAACTTGTTTTTCAGAAAATTTATTTTCGCGGTGCAGTGCGGACGCATCTGCCGATCCCTTGGACATGTGTGTCCGAGGCACTGCAAGTAGCAGCAGCAACAGCGATGGCAGTAACGGTCAGGGTCCCGCCCTGTCTGACGCATATCGAGTGGATGGAGCCCTCGCACTAGAGCTCTGCTGCGTCTTGTTTTTCAAAACAGTGTTGACGGTGTTTTCCTTCGGCCTTATGGTGCCAGCCGGCATCTTCGTTCCAGCTCTGACGGTCAGCCGAAATTCACAGGGACTATATGCCATGCGCCTGTGGTTTGCCAGGTGAAGTTGAGGGCTTTGGAAGGCGATTGTAGGTGCAGGCAAACGTTGGGATAGATGCCATGCATTTTGAGCCAACTCCTCTCGTTGCGATTTTGTCATCATTTCGAGTCAACTCCTCTCTTGTTTCGATTTTGTCACCAGGCGTCTCCCTGTGTTTCTGCTTGTTGCGGCGTTGATCCGATTGGTTCTGTCTATTTATCTTTAATCTACCTACCTTTCGCTGCACACATTTTTTGGTCCATTGTGCTGAAATGATGGTGGCGCTTGTGGACCGCCAAAGTAGTTTACTTTCAGTGAAGATGCAATTGTGTGTATCCAGATAGGGGCGTCATACGGTCGGCTGATGGGTTTGCTGATGCTGCGTTTGCGCCCTCTCTTTCGCACGTCATCTCTTTCCGAAACTTTTGCAAGTCCTGGAGCATATGCTTTAGTCGGGGCTGTCTCCTTTTTGGGAGGAGTAACGCAAACCAACATAGCCTTGATTGTAATTCTTATAGAAGTCACCAAGACCTCAGCTGCTCTGGCTCTCCCCTTTCTGCTTTCTCTTGCCATCGCGAAACTCCTCAGTGCCAGGACACAACAAGGGGGATTTTACGCTGCCCTAATTCGATTTAAAAGGCAACCCTACTTCTTCCATGAGACTCAAGTAAGCTACAGGAACAGTGCCATTTGCATTTCTTGGCCGTTGTTCATGTATTCCTGCTACCACCAGGGCGCTCACGTTGTGAATGTTACCTCTTGCAAAAATGATACTAATACTGCTGGTACCGGATGCTAACTATAGAGACGCTTCCCACTTTTTGCGTTTGACGTATGCCTGACATGCAGGTTTGCTTTGACGGCCTGACTGCTGCTGAGGCGATGACAAGGGAACTGCAGATGCTATCAGTGGAAGAAACTCCCACACTAGCAGGGCTCAAAGCTCTGGCCGACAAGTACTGCAAAGCACACGTCTCGAGTCCTACATCGCAAGGTCGTGGGAAGCGTAACAGCCATAAGGTTACGGAATCTGAGTTTCGGTCATACCAGCAGCAACCACGTCCCCGCACTGGCTAGGGATATCATTGTTTGTAGCGGTGACTGCAGTGCCAGGCTTGCATGGTTGTGTCTGATTCACTGCAGCTGCTCCTTCCACGGACTTCCTGTGGTTTTGTCACGAAGCAACAAGCGCCTCTGCGGTTATCTGCACGCGTGGCAGCTGCGTTTGCTGCTGCAGCATCTGTTGCAGCTGAAGCACCCTCTGGTCCACGCGCATACATTGGTTTCTCTTTATGCCTTCCGTTCGATGGCATCAGCCAACGCAGGCAACGTACCCCCACACCAACAACAACGAAAGCAACAACAGGAGCAGCAGGAGAAGGCCTTGAGGTCCTGTGCCTGTCTCCTTTTCCTAAGTGAAGATGGGACTCTTCTTCAGTCCATCCCGCTACTACGTTTAGAAGCAGATGGCCATCTGCGAATTCTCGCAACAGCAGCAGCAGCAACCGCCGAGCAAGCTGCAGATGTACAGGACACGCCAACGTCAGAGGCAGCGGGAGTAGCAGCAGTGGGCAGCAGCAGCAGCAAGTATGCAGGGGTAGAAATGGAAATGCAACAGTTGGCTTGTGTCTCACACCCATCCGAATTGGTAACTACAGCAACGGAAGCAGACAAAACTATAGACTCAGTAGCAATAGCAGCGGGGCAGAGCACCGCTTCTGGTTTTCAGGTGTGCGTTGACATCTCTGTGCTGGTGGATGAGGAAGTGCTTCAGCTTCCTCCTCACACTCCCCTTCTGCAAGTCTATAGATTGTTCGGGTTACTTCATTGCGAGTGAGCCCTAGAAGCTGTTTCTTTTACTGATGATGATTGTTTTCTGCTTTTCCGCTCGTCGGTTTGTGCACAGCTCACGGGTTCTGCTGTGCTGCGCTTTATCGGCTTGTTCAGGGTTTGTTTGCTATCGCGCTGCGGTGTGTTGGAAGGGCTGATCGGCAAGAAGAGCTTTCTCACCGCAATGAGAACCCCGCAACTAGATGATTGCTGTTGACAATTAAGCTTCTACTCATAGTGACGAAATTCTTGCCTATGCGCGTGCTCTCACTTCGGATTGAAGATTTTTAGGCGAGTTAGAAGCTTTCAACGCTAAGCGAAAGGGGGAATTGCCATGAGGGTTTATGAGCGGAAGAGGCATTCGCTGACCTGCCTTTGGATGTATTCTTATTATAGGAAGTCATTTTTCGTGCAGTTCCGTTGCACGCGTAATGAGGTGCACGCTTTTAATTTATGTATGCAGAAACATGAGAAGCAGCATGCGTAAATAGCATTTTGCTGTTTATGTAAATAGTACCGCCGCTCCGTTTTTTTTTCGTGTATTTGGCCTAGCGTGGAGAGGTAGAATTAATGCGTTAACTGTGACTGTGTAGAGGCAAATGCGCTACTTTCTGGTACAGCGCCTACGTAAAGCACTTCTTCACATATTTCTAGCCTTAACTTAGAACTAAACGCAAACTGCAAGTCACAGTCCGTTGCAATAGCCGAGATAAGCGTCTAGCCGAGACAAGTGACTACATGGCCACGCACAGAATTCATAGGGCGTGGGCGTCGTCACACTCTGGACGTGGTGGCGTGAAGTGAATGTCGTTGCACACGTAGCAGAATCCCGAGAATAGACTAGGCTTAAGTTGACGCATAGTGGTCAGAAAAGAAGAAGCAACGGCTTGGACCACGCGCTTCACCGAGACCGGTGCAGGGAAATAGCCCACGCACAAATGCCGGGCATTAGTACCGAATATCCGAAAACTGTCAATTCCCCTGCATCCTGTCATATAAATAGTTCAAGGTTCTGCTTCGCCTATCGAAGCAGTACCTTGAACTATTTATATGACAGGGTGCGCCAACTGTCGAGGTCCACATAGGGAAAATGCCGGCGGAGTCCAATAGAGGTCCATTGTTCCGAGAGTCTTCGAGCAGCCCGCACTGTACGGCTTGCTGGGAGGGGTGATACTTTTTCCGAATATGTGTGCAACGAGTGAGATGCAACAGCTCAGGAAACATTTAATGCATAATCAATGCACGGTCTTCCTGAACCAAGGCAACAATAGGAGGTTTTGTTTCTTTTTCTCTAGCGAAACGTACTGAAACAGGGCCAGTAGCTTGATAGGTAGATGCCCAAGCCGTCTAGACTATCCTTCAACCCAAACTGTGCTGCCCCTTTGCGCCGTGAAGTCAGCACACTACAATAATCTAAATAACGTCAAATGCTTCGGAGGTGTGACGTTGGGCCCCTTACAATTTGGCGCAATGTGGTTTATCTATGCATTTCTCAACATCTTAAGAATACAAGGTATGTTCTGCCCTACACAGGCCATTGATGTAGAAATGACAGTTAACTTTCAATTTCCACCAGAGTACGCAGGAAACGTATATATGTAGGGTCCAAAGGAATGCACTTGCTGGGTCTACAGCGGGACAAATGACAGCGTGCGCACTGTGCGTGACTTCTACCCTCAACCTAAATCCACATCAACCTGTTGGTAACTGAGCATCAACGGGAACAGTGCTCTCCAGGGCTCTCTCGCTAATCCATGACATGCCAGCGGACGCCGGTAGGAGGTTGATCCACGATCTGAGAGCCACGTGCAAGCAGGCGAGACCCCATGCTCCGAAAGATACAGGCATAACTCACGTACACGCCCAACTCAACAGATTCCACAGCGGACGTTCGAGCTTTTTCTGCTGAAGCAAGCCCGAAAGATATGCTACCTATCTGCATTCTCCTGGGTGCACTTCACTCCTCCGAGTCCCAAATTCTAAGCACTCCGCTGAGGTAGCTGAGCAGAAACCGACAAATTTTTTGTGAAACTGATAATTACGATATTTTCCACAGTGTCAGCAGGTCGACAGAACTAGCGGAACCTGCAACCGTTCAGGACTGAACCAACAAGTTGAGCTAAGCGGTCCACTCAAGGAGGCGATGAGCATGCATTGGGTGGGCTTCAACCGCATTCTGTTCGGCATGCGCTCACTTTTTCTACTGGCGTGCAGTCGGAGGGTTCTCCTTGAAACAATTCGCGGCAAGTAACTCCCAATTCTCCCTCGTGTACTCTTGGCCAACATGGCAGGAGCTGCTGGGAATAGGACTGTTAGCTTAACAATAGCACATAGTGAATAACACTATGGATTGCCATATCGTGCTGCTTCTACTGGAGTAAAGATGGAAATGCGCAATTTCATTGTGTCCTGCGCTTTACGCGTCGCCTAAGCAGCTCCTTAAAAATCTGTTGGCCAAGTAACGCACTGCTTTGGTGCATTTTCCAGCTTTCAGTTAAGCAAAGAATCACTACTGAAAGCATCGCTCTTGGGCTACTGCAAAGGCTCTGTCGCCATGCTGCTCCCTACAGTAAAACCGCCATTTCTGCTGCTGCTTCTGCTGCACTCCATCAGATACACATGGCAGCAACAAAAATACGTATTCTTCCGCAAACGGCGGCCATGGGAGAACACAATCCCTAGGAGGAACACCGGATCGTGATGATGCATCTAGAGAAGTCTCCGCAGTGCCACTGGAACGGTGAAGGACTCGCTGCAGTGCACGTTTCTCACTGCAGGACAGTACTGGGACTAGTATGTCGCATTCTGCTTCCAGCACCTTTCCTCCCTTCTGGCTGTCTTCGTCTGCTTCTTTTGTACAGGTGTTCCCCTCTGTTTCTGCAGCGTTTCTCTGTTGCTGCAAACGGTGTAGCAGCAACTGCAATGCCCGATTTACCACTGCTAGAGCGGCAGGATCTGTACCAAGCACTCTGCAAAGCCCCGCGCCAGCAGAAAGCATGCACTCACACCGCATGCAAGCAGCAAGAAGCGCAAGGGGTGGCACCCACGCCACGTCACTGGAACGAGCAGCAGCTGTTGTTACTGCATGCGCAACTGCATGCCGCTGGAGTTCGTCTGCCGCAGCCTGCATAGCAGGAATGTGGCAAGGGAAAAATCGCCCCTTACAGCGGTCATTGCTGTAGGTGCCCGAATGCCCAGAACACGCCGCAACCACCCCTGGAGTGAATCTACAGCGTTTGCTTTCGTGAGATCTGCTGCTGACTAAAACGCACGCGCAAGCAAGTCGGCATCGTTCAGCTAACGAAGCCACAAGTATCCGCAGAATCTGACCCAAAAAATCCGGGGCCGTGAGGGACTCCAGGCCATGCAGTGCCACTTCCCCTTCGACCTGTGGCAAGTACAAAGTCACAGCACGAAATCATCTAGAGAATAGCAGTGATGTTAGGCACTGAGACGGACGGCAAACAGTTGAGTGTTGTCAAAGGGAATTTGAACAGGTTTCTTTGCTTGTAATGCCGACTGTCAGCCACGAACGCCCACCAGGCAATTAAAAAACCGCTGCCGTTTATCCCCATTAGGAAAAGGCTGCTCTTCCTCAGCATGTTCATCTCTTGCGTCTTCTGTAGAACTCGATGTAGCAGTGCCTGCAGCAGTGATTGCAGCGTTAGTAGCAGCCCTAGCTGCCTGATGCACCGCATCCGCCATGTTTGCCACAGAACTTGCTGCTGCTGCGGCAGCCGAACGTGCTGCTTCCCTTTGCAGTAGCAGCTGTTGTCGCTGCTTTAACAACTGCTCAACACTGCATGGGAGACCGGCGAAACAGTGCTGCCACCATATTGTGCCGCACTCAGGTCGGAACGTTTCTTTGTTTGATAACTTCAATAATGACTCGCAGTGCTTCTTAAAAATGTCCCGCACAACTGCAACTGTATTTCTCCGCTCTCTATAAAGAGCTGTATGCATGTCGAGGGTGCTCTGTAGACCAGGAAACATACAAACAAGGCAAGCGTTGTATATTATCTAGATCATTCACTGTATGACCGTGCACCAACTACTCATTGATACACCAGAACTACCCGATGTGCATTTCGTCCTTATGCAGCAAAGCTTGCCTCTGTGATGGGGGGAAGAATTGGAATGATGGGCTCGTGGAGGTCGGCCAGACCTGGAGGTGGAGGCAGCACAAAACGGAGGGATTCAAACGGCTGCTGCTGCTGCTCTTCGGGCTTATCCTGCAACAGCCACTGTAAGCGCTGCTGCTGCACCGCACAATTCAGCTGCTGCGTTAGCTGTTGTAACGAACAGCAGCAGAAGTCCGGTAGTGCTGCTGGGCCGTCAGGGCAGCAAGAAATGCCACCTCCTGCTGCTAAAGCGCTCCTTGGTTGGCTCTCATTTACAATATCTGCTGGAGATGCTGCGCAGGCTGTCGCCACTGCAGCAGTTATGCCGGAAACCACACGTGGCAACAGCAGTCCCCTGTCCCACATCCAGCGAAGTTGCATTACAACTTTCCGCCAGAACTCCTGCAGCAGGTCAAGCCTCTGTTGCTCCCCTGCGCAAAGCGCCAGCTCAGCGAAAAAACTACTGCTGCTGCTACTGCCCCAGAGGAGGCCGAATGCCAAGTCGAGCCCACAGCAACTGCAGGCACTGCTGCAGCAACTGCATTGAAGGCATTTGTTGCTTCCAGTCAAAAGCAGTCGTTTGGCCTGCTGTTCATGTATTAGCAGCTGCTGCTGTCGCGTCATAGGTCTGAACAGCTGTTGCAATTTTGCCTCAATAGCCGCTGCTCTTGTTTCTTCTGTAGTGCTATCATCGCTCGAGTCATTGTTGCCGCTGCATACGCTGCTGTCGTTGGGGCTGGCATTGCTTCTGCTGCGCTTGCTTGCAGCTTTATCCCCAACAGAGCGCATGCTGAAGCGCTGCCTGTGCCGGCTCCTACTGCGCTCAACATCTTGAATGATATCTGGGCCCAGTGATACAAAGGGGTCCTGATTGATAGCCTTGTTATTGCTGCTGTTGTTGCTACAGGCGATTAGCAGAACGCTCAGCTGGTGAATTCGACTCGTGATGCCGCAGCGCTGCCGCCATTCGTCACTTTGCAGGAAGCATAGGGAATACAGCTGCTGCTCCGTCGTTGCTTTTTGGTTGTGACATTCCAGAAAGTTCTCATATGCTCCAAATACTGACTGATGCAGGGTCAGCCTCAACCGGCAGTCAAATGCGGCAGCAAGCGGCCTAGTTCTGCGGCTGCTGCACCAGTCCCGTAGGGGCCGGAATGGAGAACACCAGATTACGTGGAGATCCTGTAGGGGAGACACCTGCAATAGAAGCAGCTGCAGCAGGGTGTCTGCTGAGGACGCAACACTGCTGCCCGAGCCAGCTATCGGAGCTGCAGCGCCTGCAGCGACTTCATGCCATCCGCTTATAATGCTTCTATTGATCCTGGCACAGTCGCTGCTGCCGTCATTGCCTTTACCGCAAGTGCTTTGTGACTGTTCCAACCACCAGTCTTCGGAGCCGAATTCAAGAGCTGCTGTTCTGTGCGTGTCTTCGTGATCGGAAGGCCACCTATGATGCCAAGGGCTAGGGAGAAAGTACGTGTACTGTGTTGCGACCGCCAATCGCTGTAGCAAGGATAATACGTAGTGCTTCTCTTGATTTTGCATATTCGAACTCATATTAGCGCCCAGTAGAGGCAGAAGCAAATGAAGGAATTCTGCAGAAGGCAAATACCGGAAGAAGAAGCTGGAGTTTTGGCTGGGTACGGACAGTCGCAAGATTGCAGTTGCCTCCGAAGTAAGCTTACTTGTCGCGTCGCAAAAGGCAAATGCAGAATTGAGAAGACGAGACTCATACTCCCTGATGAAAAGTGGTCCTGTTTTGGTGGGGTCGCTGGACGCTTCTTCTTCACTCTGTTCTGAATTGCCTGCCGTGGCAACGGGTAACGCTGCTGTTGAAATCACTGCGTGAGTTGGGTTTCTGTTCCTCTGGAACTGCAAAACCTGAGAGCCGATGCAATCCTCGTGTTGCGGTGAGTAAAGGAAGAACATGGGCAGTCGTTTTAGAGTCTGATACAGCTGGATTTGATCCACTTGATCTTCTGTGCAGTCCTGTGGGCAGTACTGCGCTGTGCGTGACGCCAGTCCAAGGGCTGCAAGGGTGGCCTTCGCTGTGTGCTTTGGAACGCGCAGTGAGTCAGTAGAGGCTCCTGTTGCTACTGCTGTACCATGCTTCTCCTCCGTTGCTGTGCTAACAGATTGACGGATAGCTTCGACCAGTAAGAACTCCGAAACTGAAGCAAACAGGCAGTACACACAAAAGAGACAAGGAATCCTGTGCCGTGAATGTGGCATCTGACTAGGCTTCTGATTTGCATGCAAGTCACTCACCACCAAAGTTGCGCTGCACAAATGATGCGCGGCTGGGGAACAGTTGTTCCCATCGAAGAATGCACGCGGCGCAAGTGCCGCAGCGCAGCTCTTCATCGCCGCTGCTGTTGTATAATTTGCTGACTAGTGCGGACCTCGAGATGCCGTGGTCCTCTGCAAACCGCTGTTCCTCTGGAGTTGAGTGTCGAGCAGCATCGCTGCTGTTCTTGTCAATGCAAGTGCAGCAGAGATCCGGCAAAGGCGCAGCGCACGTATATGTGACTCTCAACAATTGTCTCTGTTCTGTTTGGGAGAGATCTAGAGCATGCTTAGGATGCTGTGCAGTGCAAAGGACAGTCTGAAGCACTAGAGGGGCAAACTGCTGCAGAGATATCGCACAGCGTCGCTGTTCTTGCTGTTGTTTCGGTGACAAGCACCGGCAGGAAAACTGCAGAGGCGGTACTGCGCAGGCGTGCCAGCTGCCATGGCTCTCTTCAGATATGTGGGTGCCTGCGCCAGTATGTGAAACACCACATTCTGGCACCGTTTGTCGTGCATTTGCAACTGCGATTTGACGTAGGTAACGTCGGCGAGCAGCAACAACAGGGAAACGACCAATAGTCACGAAGAGCTCGTGCTGCAACATCTCCCATGGAGAGGCGCGGGAGAAGTCCTCGAATACCAATTCGCGAAGCAACGTATCACTCAGAAAGATATCACTGATGCCATTTGTGCTTTTCCTGCTTCGGCTGCTTCTGCGGCTACTGTTGTTGATGTTAATCTCATCGTCTCTGTCTGTGTCACCGCAGGAACCATGTTTCTTGCTGCTCTTGCTGATGGTACGTGGCATTCCCCCAATATTCTCTATCACTCTGGCACTAGCTGTAGTGGCATCCGCAGCCCTGGCATGGTTCTGTGAGCTGGAGTTGCCACTCCGCGTATGGCTACAGGCAGTAGCGCTGACATCGCCGCTGGTGCCTTCCACGCTGCCATTGTGTCCACCCCATGTATTGTGGCGCTTCTTCCTCCCCATCGTCTGCAAGCTCAATGCACATGTCGACGGTACTCGCAGTTTTCCCGCTGGAACTGCAGCCGTTCCTGTTCACTGCTGTGGTGGGACAGCTACAGACGCTGAAAGGGATGCAGCGTCTTCATACGTATTATACGCCCCATGGAAAAGCAATCCTTCAGAACGAGATAGCCGCACAGTCTTGCACGCAGCGTCTAGGAACAGTTCCACAAATGCAAGATGGTGGCCACAAAAGTGAGTGCCCCCCAGTGCTTTGTTTGCGCATCCAAGTCGGTGAGATAGCGTTAAAAGCTCAAACACCGTGCTTCACGGCCCCAGAGTGGACCAGACTTAACCAAAAGTTCATAATCTACACAGTTTCCGTACCTACAGAGTCTTCGTGATCAGGGGCCCTGAGGGGCCGGGCTGCCTATTGCAACAGCAACCTCCATTTCAAGGCGCTCATGCGGCCCAGCCTCATTGCATTTGCTGAGACCTCACCATAGCATATACCAACTCTGTTTCAGAGTGTGTGTATTTGTCCCTTTTTGTCTGCCATGCTCTCTTCTTCACTGGGAGGTGCATGTTCCATTCCACTGCGCATGTGGTCAAGGACAGCTGCGAAGCTGAGACCGGCCACGTTTTACAGATGAGTTTATCCAGAAGATAATTGGCCGCAACGCTGGTATGCTTCTTCCAGCAAAGGCATGTGAAACGTGCATGCCGTCAGAGAAACACCTGAAGCTCCGGAAGACTTCATATCATTTTTTGTATGCTGGAGGGCACACACCTTTGGTGAGCTCGTACCCACAGGCCGCTAAGGTTAGTTCCTCAAGATCCACACACACCGCAAAGTAACAGTCTTGGCAAGGGCCTACGGTGAGCCCTGTGCTAGTTGCGCCAGTCAATGTATGGGCGAAGGGTTGCTGTCGAAAGGCGACTGGAAACCTCTGTTTTATTCTGACAAATATGTGCTCCTCTGTAAGTGCATTCCTTGTGTAAATTTTCGTGCTGTCGCTTGCTTTGTTCGAACCATATGCAAACTATCTAGGGAGGCTCAGCTGGACGTGCGGCGGTCTGTTCATGAAAGTCGTAAGGTCTTATTTTAAGCAGTCTAGTGGCACAACATGGTGAAACGGCAATACCGTAAATAATAACTTCGGTTATTCTGTGTCATCCAACGCAGAAGATTCTTCGTACGAGTAACTAGAGATTCCGAAGTCTGTACTCCGTAGCATCGAAAGGGTGCGGTATGTGGGTGCCAAATAAGATACCTCACTGCATCTAAGAGACAGGCAACTTCCTTGACTCAATTGAGTCCGTAAACAGAGCTAATACTCTACGGGAGTTGGTCACAGCCAGTGCTTCTCTGGGGGGAAGTAAGGTAGCATGCTCCAGCGCAGGCAAGAAAATTGTCCCATCTCTCTGTCACTTAAGAACTAATAGACACATTGGCATTGGCAGATGAACAGCCCTAATAGCAACATGGTGTTGCAGGCGTAAGTGTGCGTGGAACGAGGCTGCTCCAAGCATTACTCCTGCCGCCATGTAGCATTCCCCTAGACGTGAATGGACCAAGTGGCAGT